CACTCAGAAAAGGAGAGAAATTTTCTAGGGGAAAGGAAAACCCACTGATGTGGGAAGCAGCTTACATACCTCAGGAGGTGGGGGCTTAATGGTGACTGGCTGGGGAGTCCTCCGGGGTGGGGAGGGCTTTGGCTGCACCTGCTGCTGGGCAGGGTTATAGTAGGTCACTCCTCCATATACCTGTGATGGGGCCTTGGGACCCCAATAAGTCAGAAGAAAAAGTTAGGCAAACTCACCCTAACTATGACGAACAGGAAACATTATTTGGGCAGGAAGCATTATTCGGGCACAAAAATAAAAGTACTGGGGAATTTTTAAATCTCTAAGCTGCCCCTTAAAGTGATCATTCATTTCTATCTTACTATCTTTTAATTATGTTCTGGTTCTTACTCCTCCAAAGTATTGCTCATCTTTCTCTAATTCTTACCATCAGCTGAAAAATGGAAGAGGCTAACTAAGCTCAGTGGTGACACCTCACATACCAGATGGTGTCAACCTGTTGGGAGTTAAGCAGCACAGGAAGGGGTAGGGCTGGTAAGGATAATACAGCTTCTTTACTCAATTGAATAACAGACACAGCCACCTAAGACATACCAAAACACTTCAATGAAATACCATTCAAGAAACAGAAGGCAATAAACAGACGATGGGCATTACATAAGCTGCATTTCCAGCTCCTGACCACCAAGAGGCGTCCTGGTGTCACATGCAAATCAGTGGCATCAAAATGTTTTCTCAAATTCCTTAAGCATTCTTCCCATATCACCTCCTCGTCTGAATTAAAGGACGTGTAGAAAAATCTGCTCATTAGCCATCTCACCTGCGTATTAGGATATAGATGAGGAGGCGGTGGGGGAGGCAGTGCCCCTGGAGCATAAGGGTAGCTAGGATTACCAAAGTTCATGACGCCTGGAGCAGAAAAGTAAGTAGGAGCAAGCAACTGCTGAGGTGGTGGCTGTCCTGGAGACATGGACACTGGTGGGGGATAGAGGCCCGGATTGGGGAGAGGTGCCGGTGTCTGGTGGGGATGTAAACCTGGATAAGAAGAGGAAAACAAAAATTAAATAGAAGATAACACCATTTCCATGGGATGGCTTGGCTGCCCTGCTCAGCACAGAAAGACTCAGGATGAAGTCCTCAGGATGGACCCAAGAGGAGTTTGTTGCTCAAGCAGCCAGAGTGGCCAGCCTTGTAAGCAAGCAGCACAGAGCTCAGGAGGATGGAGCTTGTGAAGCCCCCAACACATATCCTCACGTACTGGAAGCATACAAGCAGAGGTGCAAAGCTTACCTGGGTGGGGAAGGTGCATTTCTGGCTGCACAATCATGCCCTGAGGAGGCAGTGGGGCAGGGCTGTCACCATGGGTATAGATTGGTCCCTGGAACTGCACTGTAAAATATCACATTGGGACTCTCATAAACCCTCACTCTTCGTATCATATGGATAAGTCTCCTTGTCCCCCAAACCCTTTAAAAGATGTTCTCAGTTTTCCATGTGAAGAAAACAGCAGCCAGACAATGTTTGATAACCACTGTGAGAAGTCAGAAGGGAAATTTTAGGAGTCAAGAGGCTGGTCTCTTAATTCACTTCATCCTGCCAAGAAAGGTGCCTAACAAGAATTTAAAAAAAAACAAACAAAAAACCCCCAAAATAACTCACATGGATCATAGTAATGTCCTTCCATGATACTGATGTGCACAGGAGGGGCAGGGGGCTCCGGCACAGGTCTCTGCCGCTGAGATGAATAGCGTTTGGCTCGCCCACCCTGGACACCCTGAAATAACAAGGTCTGAGCAAAAAGACTCCCAGAGGGCTGACTCTCCTATCAAGTCCCACCCTCCTGTAGGTGCTGCAAAACACACCCTTGGTATATGGCACATATTTAAACAATACTGGCAAAATGAAGGGGTTCTGGTTGGCTCAGTTGGAAGAACATGCAACTCTTGACTTCCGGGTCATGAGTTCGAGCCCCACATGAGGTGTAGAGATTACTTAATAAAAAAAGCTTAAAAAAATATTTGCGAAATGAATTGTAAAGCCGATGAGAAACATCAAGATCTGAACCTAGACCCTCTACCCTTTCTGGAGAGCCAAATTAAAAGAAATAAGGGTAAATCAATGGGAAAGCAGACTCCAAGGCCTTATCCTGGTTTAAACAGTGAACAACTGTTGCATGCAGCTCGCTCCCCCAACTACTCCCTTTTCCTTTCTGTACCATTTCTTCCATCCGGTTAAACTGAGGTGGAGGTCCTGCTCCCATGTGTATGTGATTGGGCATACCTGTAATATAACAAAAAAAAAAGTCATGGCTGCAGAGTAGATAGATGTTGAGTAAGACTAAAGAATACAACATGTGGAATTGTTTTATTCTTTTAAACTAACAAAATTCTTTTTTAATGTTTATTTATTTATTTTGAGAGGGAGAAGGGGAGAGACAGTGAGGAAGCACATGAGTTGGGGAAGGGCAGAGGAAGAGGGAATGAGAGAATCCCAAGCAGGTTCCACGGTGTCAGCAAAGAGACTGATGCTGGGCTGGATCTCACGAACCATGAGATCATGAGATCATGAGCTGAGCCAAAATCAAGAGTCAGAGGCTTGCCAACTAAGCCACCCAGGGACCCAACAAAATTCCTTTTAAACTATCTCTGCCTCCTGTCAATACCAGCATTTGGAAATCTGTCCTCACTGCCTGCAATCTTAATATAGCAATAAAGTCTTTGAACACACACACACACTTCAATGAGAAAGTGCAAGTTCAAATTTCTCCCACCAAATACTTCCTTTTACAGAATGCCTAAGAGTTATAATTAGCACAGTACATTATCAAACGTATTGAAAAATCTCAGCCCTCAAGTTTCTGAACATAACTGGACATTCTGTGAATCTGCCCAATTATTCTAGGCCATAGAGGTCTAGGATGGACATTTGGGAAGATACTGCCCTCTAGCTGAAAATGACTCAGGACAAAAAAAGACATCTTCCAATGGTAATAAGGTATCAGTAGAAGGGTATACTTCTCCATCCAAAGATCAACTCCAGGTCCAGTTTATACTACATTGGTTTTTGGTATTCAAAAATGCACAGGGGTGCCTGGATGGCTCAGTAGGTTAAGTGTCCACTCTTGATTTTGGCTCAGGTCATGATCTCATAGTTCGTAGGTTCATGCCCCACTGTCAGCGTGGAGCCTGCTTGGGATTCTCTCTTCCTCTCTCTTCCCCTCCTCTGCTCCCTCTCACTCACATGCTTTCTCCAAATAAACAAACAAAATCATGCACACCAGGGAAGGATGCTGAAACTCCCAGTCCAAATGAGGATTTCCAATCTTTAAGTTCAAATCAGATTTCAGAAACTAAGGAAAAGAGGGGTGCCTGGGTGACTCAGTTGGTTAAGCGGCCAACTTCGGCTCAGGTAATGATCTCACAGCTTGTGAGTTCGAGCCC